TTGGCCATCCGCTCGCCCCGACGCCGGCGATGAGAGAGCTGCGCGCAGGTAGGGGAGCTGGGCCGCCGCGTGGCGCCTCTCCCGCTGGGCTAATTAAGGAGGCGCGGGAAAAAAGGCAGCGGAGGGGAGGGGGCGAAAAGGCAACGGGTTAAGACGAATGAGGCTCCTGCGTGGGAGGAGGAGAAGGGAATGGGGAGAGGAAGAGAAGGCAGGCAGGCAGGCAGGCAAGAGTCGTCTACTCTACTGCACTGAGCCGCGGTTGGGCAATGGAGCCTCCCTCTTCGGAAGCAGTCTATCTGTTCCAAGGGCGGGCTGTTAAAGATGCTTTCAGGAAGCGTCTTTCTCTCGCGAACGAGCTGCAGAACGACCCCGACCCGGCATGGCCTGCCTTCTCGCCATCCTTCTGAGACGCCCTCCCTCCCCTCCATGTCCAGGGCGGAAGGATGTGGGTGGAAGGGATGAGCCAAAGGGAAGGGGACCGTCCAGCAAGGCTGTCACCTCCCTTTCCCAACCCCTTTTAAAGAAGAAGGAAGAAAGGGTTGCAGGCGGACGCGTAGCAGGCATAGCTGTCACCTCCCACTGCAGTGCAACTTCATGCCAGTTGGAAGTTGTACCTGTTGAATTGCTGCTTGCCGTGCATGCCCGGGGTTGAAAGGTGCAATGTCATAAAGAACAGGCAACTTGATTGTACTGCTCAGGTTAGATAGTCAAGCGGGCGTCCAGCATCTTCCCTGACACCAGCTAGTAAAATACTGTATAATATCAGCTCAGCAGGATTTGTCAAGAGGAAAATAGAGAGGATTTCTAAACATATGTTTTTCTGGGCATATATGTTCAATGTGTTTTTCTTCTCACTGAGCAGATGTAACCGCTACCCCACTCTTGCCACCTCTGGGCAGAGGTAGGTGGGAATCAAAGGTCAGAGAGCACGCTGGCTTTTCAGGCAAAACAGTCCTGGAGTCTTCCTTGCTACAAATTAAGCACCACCTTTTGGAAATAGCCTGGAAACGAATGCGCAGCCAGGTCCCCGTGGCCAGTTATTTCGTTTGTGCCTGCTAGCAAGTGCTCTGCTGGGGTTGGAGGGTGCATCTTTGTGGTTCTTTTGGATCAGGGACATAGTTCAGTGTTTTCCAGCTGCATCTCTAATGAGATAATGTATTTGGTGTTTTGGATTAGGAGTTGCTTCCTTTTGTACTCATTCAAGAGAAACAACAAGATCTGCTGTTTAGAGCGTATTTCGGTGTGTGAGAAAGGCTGTATCCCAGAGGGGGTAGCCCTACTGGTTTGTTGCTGCAGAGACAACAGAGAGTCTTTGGGCACCCTAAGGACTGGCAGCTTTGTTGTGACAAGAGGTTTCAAGGATGAGAGCCCACTTCATCAGACTGTGCTGTTAACCTCCATATGGAGACCTGATGGGGAAGAAGGGCTCCCATGTGAACTGGTGCGCAGATGTTAGTGGCTCCATCCGAGACTCCTTATCTTGAACATCGGGCTCACGTCCTTAACAGGACTTATGTAAGGGATGGAGGATGCAGAAGATCAGCCCATGAAATTCGTCTCACCTCCTGGATTTTGTAGCAGAGTTAAGAAAAAGCACACATATGCATTTGTTACGTTGGATAAAGGTTAAATTAAATGGGAAGGGGTGGTTTCAGGGAAGGATAGCAGCAAAAAAAAATTATGTCCCAGCAGTTGAGCAAATAGGATCTTACAAATAAGGTATACAAATAAATCACCATCTGGAAGAGTTCAGAGAATTCTAATGAGAGTTTTCCCCTGCCAGATTGAAAAAAGCTGCTAGTGAAGTGTTATTATTGTTATTATTGACAAGCAAAAATTCTTTTTGGTGTTCATTAGACAGCAAAACACACAAAAAAACCCTGTTCCGCCTAGGTAGGCAACAGCTGTGTCTATACATTTTCAGATATACCACAGTAAAGCATGTAGTGCAGAGTATCTCTTGTTATCTCCTCACTGAATATATATTGAAAGGTACATTACGATAACGTCTATCGAGAATGGCTGGGGGGCAACGCTTAGCAATGTAAAAGCTGTTCTCAGTGGAGACTTAGACAAGTTTCTTAAAAAACCAAACAAAAAACCTACACTGTACTGACACTGAGTAACTATATACCACAGGGCTTTTTTTGGAAAATACTGTATTAAGCATTAAAGATCGCTGCACAAAAATATCTCTCAGCCTGTTCTTGATGTTCAGTTTGGCAGCTGGCTGCTTGGATCCTGTCAAGTTGTTTTAATGAGTTAAAACATGATTAAATGAATCAAGCTATTTTTGGAACCTGGAGGGGCAGTTCGGGAGCTCAATTTATAATTGCTTCTTGGGAACCTCTTATGGATATGCTGTCATCTGCCATACGTCAAACTAAAAGGTTAAAAGATGCTGTTGTCCCATTTTCATCTTGTCCAGTTTCAGTTCTCAGTAGAATTGAGGTGTCAAGATGTGAAATCTTGTCTGTACAATTGTTAAAATAATTAAGGGTAGTTTTTTTAAAAAAAGAAATTGCAGTCCTGAAAATGTCCGTTGTACTTAAAAAATGAGGCTTGAACAGCAGTTTGTTAAATATTATTGTGAAACAACCAGGTAGCTCTCCAGCCAGGTCTGGGAACAAGGTCGTTGTACATTAAAAACTGCCTTGCAAAAGAGTTTCAGTGTGGACATAAAAAAAGAGATTGAATTGAAAGTGTATTGAAATAAATAAAACATTGCAAAACATTAACATAACAGATAGGGGATGTTTGCAAGCCCTATAATTTGCACTCTGCATAATCACTATGCTCTGGGTCTACAATATCTTGGTATAACAGTTCCAGTTTGTTACAGACCTTTGCTCCTCTAGGCTTTGGGGATTTTAGTCACAAGAAGAATATTTATTGCCATGGTGGCAGCCTGCCAGATTCTGAGTTACAAGCCCTTGTAATTTTAGGAGGTGCAGGAACAATAGAAATTCGTATTATGAAATTTCTGTTGTTGCACCAGGTTTGTGATCCCCCCCCCCGAAGTTTACAAGGTATTGTAAGACTCTCAGGGAGATGTTAAGGTGCTAGACTCTTGCCTGACAAAGAGACACCTATGATGGATCTGGTGGTTTATTTTGAACATAGTCTTTTAGTAACCCATATTTCTGCTTTCTAGCGTGGGTTGCTAACTTTTGCCAGTCTTGCAGAATTGCATATATACCAATTGTTCCCTTTGCAAATGAGTAAGATGAGGATGATGATAACCTTTGAACTGCAGAGCTGGAAGGGATCCTATGGATCATCAAGTCCAGCCCCTCTCAAGGAGGCACTGTGGGGAATTTACCTCCCAACGTCCGGCTCCACAGCCAGAGACCTGAGCTATCTGTTTTCTAGTCGTCTGAGCTAGAGACCAAGACTGCCTGGAATATCAGGAAATTCTGATATGCGCAATAATATGTCAGTGAGCTATAGATACGATGCTTAACTCTCCCAATCCATCTAAGTTTTGCCTTGGATAATGTCTAGGTTTTTTTTTTACAGCAGTGATTCCTAAATTTATTGGCATCATGCTCTCTTTTTGATATCTGAGAAACCACCAACATTTACATTATTAAGAAAAAACCCCAAATGCTTCATAAATATATTTTAAATTGAAAATAAGTAAAAATAATTTTTCTTGTCACAAAAAGGGAACAAAACTATTATTTTCTTTTAAGACACGAAAAGCAAAGCAAGTTTAATGAGATGGATCCTGCTGGCTTTCACACTCTCATCTCTCCCCTGCTTCCCAAACTTTCTCATTTATGAATTGGTGGTTCATAGCAATAATTACCTTAGGTGTTAGCAACACTCAAATTTAACTTGGGTTGTAGGAGGGAAGAGCCATGTTTGTTTCCCTTTACAGCCAACTGAAATGGGGTCAGGGCTTGTTATTGCCAAGTTATACCACTGTGCCATTTGTGTTTTTTTAAAAGGTTATTTAACAGTGCAGTCCTATGCATGTCTGTGCAGAGATATGGACCATTCGGTTTAATGGATCTTTCTCCCAGGTAATTGGATATAGGATTGCAACCTAAAGGGAGCAGGAATTCATCCTTGTTTTATTCCCATCTAATTGGGACACTAGTCTTAATAGCCCTAGACCCTAGAGGAAGCTGTTCTCAAGCTGGGATCTGAATACTGCATAGCATCTATATTAATGTCATTTTCCAGTGTGTCAGAGACTGCTTTCATATCCACAAAGCATCACACAAGCCAGCGTTTCTAATGTTAACATATTTATTAAATGCTCGTCTACAGTACAAGTTTCTTTGGTAGTGGTACCTTAATCTTAGTCCTTCAATTTTGGCAACAAATATTTGGCATAATAGTTTTGCCAATATGTCAGTGTACAATTAGAGATTAACGTAAATTTATAAGTACTGTAACTCATTCCCAGAGGAAGAGATAAGAGATTGTGGAATAAATATTATGATTTTTATATGGCACAGTTGATACAAATGGGTTACTGCAACAAAATGTTGGCCTTTGACCACAGGCTCTTATAAGATGCTCTTGTTGAAGGCTATAGACGGTCAGGCAGCATTATTTGGGCCTTATACAGGGCATCTTTCATCCTTATAGCCCAAGCTGTGCTATGCGATGGTAGAGGATTCAGATTAAGAGCTGGCTGGCTGCTACCTTGAATCTGAGCGCTTTGTCACAATATATTGTTGGCACTGGTGGAGACATGGTATGACGGGAGAAAGAGAGGGTTTTTTATGTCAGTCCTCTCCTCCTTCCTCCATTTAAATGTTATGCAAACATCCTCCAAATTTAATGGGCCAGATGCATTCGAGCGTAGATGGGTTTGCTAGACTCATGCAGCCTGCAACTTGTGGCTCCTTTAAAAAACACACACACCTGAATCCGGAAAGCAGTTTCAAAATCACATAAAAATTGAGTTGGAATAAATTGATGCCTTTTATTTGAGGCAAAGATGAGAGAGAGAGAGAGATGCACGTCTGCCTAATCACAGCAGCACTGAAATCCTATATTTCTCTATTTTTTTTTCAAATGGGCAGCTCACA